TTTGAGACCATGGAATTGTTTAGACTAATATATTACTTGTCTACGTATTCATGATCCACTATTGAGGAAATTTATGGAGGAGAGCGTTCTAAAGTTTTCAATCCATCAATTTCGATAATTGTGTTTTCTAAATAAAAATGAGTAGCCACTCGACTTTTATAAAGTGTTGTTGCAATCCATAGTGTCATTTTATAAAACTTAGAGTGCATGGACCAAGTGGGAGATTGTTGGAATTTTTATATATATATATTTAAATAATAAAAATTATTTTATGGTCCTATGCACTACGCTTTCTAAAATAGGATAGCAATGTGATTATTGATACTTGATGGATTGGGTTGTACTTTCCAATTTGGTGGTCTAATTGGGAATATAGTTTTATACCGTTGGATTGTGGTTTTCCAACTTATTTGGTGTGATTTAATTTTAACCATTAATATCTAAGTTTCCATGATAGGAAGGGAAACTTAGATATGCTTGTTTGTTAAGAAGCCGTCCTCCCCTATTGTTGTTATGTTGTTATATACAAGGGTTTTAAAACCCTTATTCAGACCTATTGAATCGACAACTTTCAGAAGGGGGTAAAGCGCTCTAATTTTTCAGATCTCTCAAAGGACGCTAAGGAATTTTCAAAGGTATCACAAGATTTAATCATCAATCAGGTACAAGATTAAATTCTCTATTTAATTAATTGTAATATACTTGATTTTTACGTGAATTATTGAAATAAACCCAACAGATAGCTCTTGGTGCCATAAGTCTTTCCGATAATCAAGACAAGTTGTGCCTACCAGACATAGGTGCCTCAGCTCATATGACGGCGAAATCAGGTAAGTTCCAATCTTTTGTTCCTTATCATGGACGAGAAAAAATTATGGTAGGTAATGGTGAAGTTCTAAATATTACACATGTTGGTTCAACTTTAACCACTACAGATAACTCAAAACTGAAATTAAATAATCTTTTAGTAGTCCTAGATATCAAAAGAAATTTGGTTTCAGTTAACTAATTCACCTCTGAATATCCATATCTTTTTGAGTTCTCATTATTTGGGTTTGTTATAACGGACTTGGAGAGGAAATAAGTTATAGCATCGGGAAGTAGATGCGGCGATTTGTATGCCTTGCAAGCGGGAAAATGATCAACTTTATTCTCTTCTCATTTTCGAAATACAGAAATGGAAGTTTGGCACCAACGCTTCTACGTACTCAAGTTATGGATTTCCTAAGGAGAAATAAATTAATTTCTAATCTATCATCAAATAAACTATGCAGTAGTTGCCCCATTTTTGTTTTCTGAATTTCTAATCTATCATCACATAAAGTTGAATCAATATCCACTATGCAGTAGTTGCCAAATGGGTAACGCATGTTATTCTGACGAACCTTTAGCTAAAATTGTAAGGACTCACATGCGACCTACTCCACTACATAATAAGATTTTGTCCGTTTTGGCTTAAACCCACACGGTTTTACTCTTGAGCTTTATCCAAAAGACCTCATACCAATTGGAGTGACACACCTACATATAAGCACTTCACATTTCTCTTTCCTTGGCGATGTGGGATTGTGCACCCGTAACTCACCAGTGTGGTAGTTTGTTAATATCTTGCACCCGTCCACGACACACCCGCCCACAGGGTCATCACAAAAATTCATTGTGATTTAGGGACTTGCCCTTGTATCATTTCAACCATTCCATTATTATGTGGTTTTTATAGATGAATGCGATCATTTCACATGGTTTTTTTCCATTGCGGCATAAGTCAGATTTTTGCAGATACTTTATCAACTTTCATGTTTATGTTCAAACGCCATTTTATAGTAGAATTAAAAATTTTCACTCTAATGAAGGAAGTGAATTTAATGAAAATGGGTTTACGGATTACTTGAGAAATAATGTGATTAAACATCAAAAGGCATGTCCTAAAACTCCAAAGCAAAATGGATTAACAGAAAGGAAGCATCGAAATATCACTGAATTGGGACTCACTATGATGATTCATGGTAATGTGCCAAAAAGATTATTGGTTGAAGCCTTTAGAACAGCAGCCTGGCTTATTAATAGGCTCCCTTCCTGATAATTAAAGATGAAATCTCCATTTTTCAAATTGTACAATAAAGAACCTGACTATGGGTGCCTCCGTATTTTTGGGTGTCAATGCTTCCTGTATCTACGAGATCATACAAAATTGAAGCTTGATCTAAAATCTCTTCCATGTGTTTTTATTGGTTATAGTAAGCGACACAAAGGTTACGGACGCTACTACCCTCCATCTGGACATGTATTTGTTACTCGACACGTTGTCTTAATTTGATGAAAAGATGTTCCCAATTTTGAAACCAAGAGCTCTCTTTTCCAATTCCAATTCTGATAATGAAATAATAGGTTTTGTTAAGCCGAATCCCAAGTATTTTGTGGCATCTTTACAGGTACCATCTGAACCCAAGTCTATAAAGTCTGCTTTAAAACACTCAGGTTGGCATTCTGCCATGCAAGAAAAAATTAATGTTCTTCATCAAAATCATACGTGGGATTTAATTCCACGACATTCAGATATGAATATTATTGGGTGTAAATGGGTTTTCAAGACAAAGCTTCGTGCAGATGGGTCGTTAGAAAGGTTATAGGCACGCTTAGTTGCTAAAGGGTTCAACCAAGTACTTGGAATTGATTTTTCAGAAACTTTTTCACCAGTAGTGAAACCGGCTATTATTCGAATCATCTTAATGGTTTCATTGGCAGAAATTGGGATATCCGACAACTTGATGTTAAAAATTCCTTTCTCCATGATCAGCTTAATGAAACTGTTTTTATGGAGAAACCGCCGGGATTTAAAGATCCAAATAAGCCTAATCATGTTTGTCAATTGAGACGTACCCTATATGGATTATGTCAAGCTCCACGTGCATGGTTCGATAGATTTAACCACTTCTTTGTATGGGATTTTTCTGTAGCGTTGTGGACTCCTCTTTGTTTATTTGTCATAGCGCACAAGGATCTTTTTTTGTTGTTGCTATATGTCGATGACATCATTCTTACAGGTGATAATGCTCCTTTTCTTAATGAATTTGTGGCAAAAATCAGTAAGGAGTTTGCCATGAAAGATCTTGGATACTTGCACTATTTCTTGGGTATTGAGGTTCAAAAATTGGATGAAGGCTTCTTGTTTACTCAAACTAAATATGCTCATGAACTTCTGGAAAGAGCACAAATGCAAGATGGTAAGTTTTTCTCTACACCAGTGGCAACTAAATTATACCATCTGCGTGATGATACTCCGTTTGTTGATCTTCAACATTTCAGGAGTATTATTGGAGGGTTGCAATATTTAACCTTCACAAGGCCTCACATATCTTATAGCGTGAATTATGTGTGTCAGTTTATGCATCAACCAAGTAATATTTAATTACTTTCAGCTTGTAAAACGGATACTTTGATACATTAATGGCACACTTAATTATGGCGTTAGATTGTGTTCCAATACTCCCTTGGACTTGCATGGATTCTTTGATGCCGATTGGGCTGGATTCCCTCTCACGCGTTGCTCGATCTACTACAGGTTTTTGCATCTACTTGGGTGGTAATTGCATCTTAGTCTGCTAAAAAACAAGCTACGATTGCTCAATCAAGCGCCGAAGCTGAATATCGGGCCCTTACATCCGCAACAGTTAAAGTTACACGGCTTTCATTTATTTTGAGAGACATCAGAATCCCTCTGCACCAACCGCCAACTTTGTTTTGTGACAATAGGTATGCTCTCTATATGACAGTGAATCCAGTAATTCATGCTCGAACAAATTAAACACATTGAAGTTGATTATCATTATGTTGGCGAGAAGGTTGCACTAGGCTTATTGATCACTCGCTAGGTATGCTCTAACAATCAAGTTGCTGATATTTTCTCCAAGGATTTGCCACGCCAGGCCTTTCTTCGTTTACGTGACAAATTGGGTCTTTTGCCTTCTTCACGTGCCAGTTTGAGGGGGAGTTGAGACACAATACAAATTATGATGAATTTCAAATCAGAATGGAAACCCAACGGTCAAGAGATAACATGATTTCTCTCTATGATTTTCTCTTTATTACTACTACTATCATGTACGTATTTCTCTCCTAAAATTATGTATATCAGTTGTACACTTTACTATATATATATATATATATAAAACAAAACAACAACACACGAAATTAGACAAGAATAATTTGGGACCGTGTCTTCTACGTCTCCTTTTTCTAAATTTCTTCAATATATATATTTTTTATCCTATTAGTGTACATTTCACTAATCATATGACTTTACTCTTGAAAGTTTTATACTTTGACTTGATCACAATTTGAAAATTTTGCATTTGTATGTAACAAATTTTTTTTCCCTTGTGTTTATTTTATTGATAAAAATATACAAGGAATGGTACAAAAGAAACTCTGAGCCCCACAATAATCAACCTTTTTCTACACCCTTCTGAAATCCAAATCTGGTCTTCACAATAAACATAATGACGTGTAGATGCGGGCATTAATTGGTCTTTAATTTTTGTCATGATATGCATTGGTCTTTCATTTTTTGGCTAAACATGCATTGGTCAGTCCACGTGATTCTTACAGCTAACAATGAGCCCCACAATAATCAACCTTTTTCTACACCCCCATTATTTCCTAAATCCAAATCTGGGATTGATTTAAGATTAGTTCCGCAATTGAATGGTGATTATGATTTGACACGATGAAATTTCACATTTAAAGTGGATTCGAAGACTTTGGTTTCCTCAAAAATAAGTTGTGGGAGACGTAAAATCAAAAATATTATTATATGATCCAGACTGATCATTTTCTTATACATAAATAAATATACCGTGTTGATTTTAATTTTAATATTTTTTTATGCATAGTCGGCATAACTATGTAATAATTTTCCCCGAAACCCACTTTATACGTCAAAATCTTTATACATTGATGGCCTACTTGCATAAATAAGCCATACCTCGTTTATATAAATACATATATATCACACTTAAAACATAGTATACTACAATTTCCTCTATTAAAAAAAAACAAACTAAAATGTTGAGGAAAGCTTCTTGGACCTCTTCTTCCATCAAATGCTGCTTGTTCATGATTTTGATTCTCACGGTTTTACCTTCGTTCCCTGCCCGAAAATTATACACCAGTCCGGGCAGCTGTAAGTTCTCTTTCTTCTCACCCTATCTTTCTATATAGATATATATATACACACACACACACACACATATATTCATTGGTTTTGTTGTACGAGCTTAATTTGCAGATGGACATGGTAATAATTATATTGGAGCAAACAAAAACAATCATGAGCACGGTGGATCTGCTGTACCAGGAGGACCAAATGCACCTACCCAAGGTGCCAATTCTGCTTCTCCCTCTCCTGGGACAAATAGTAACTGCTCCGTGCAAAGGACTTGCACAAATAACAACTGTACTGTGTATAAGCATTGCACAAATGCACCTAACCAAGGTACCAATTCTGCTTCTGTCTCTTCTGGGACAAATTCCAACTGCTCCGTGCAAAGGAGTTGCGTAAATAACAACTGTACTGTGTATAAGCATTGCACAAGTTCTTCGGATGGAACAGGCGGTACACCGTAAAAGTATAGTCAGAAAACTGAAATAAGCACAGCAGCTGCTTCACATGTAACGTTTGTTGTGGGAGTATTTGTGGTTTGTAGAAGCTCTGAGATCCATTTATTGAGATGTGAGAGCGCGTAATATGCATGGTTTTGTTTTTTCTATTTAGCTAAATAATGTATCCATGCGATCATGTTATATATTTAACTCAATTTGAAATTTCCTGCATTTAACTCTCGTAGCCTTTTGCAGTAAACTTCCATGAATTATATATATATATATTTTTTCCCCGCAAAAAAACCCCGTCAACTAACCCAGGGGGGTTTGCCCATAAAGCTTTTGATTGAAATATCCTTCTGTTTGACAAATGTTGTACACGGGCTGCGAATGCCATTTTCCAAACCATAGATCTATATTTCTTCGAACATGCCTTCCAATGGAAAATTTTCAAAATCCGTTGAGGTCTTTACATGGATATAAATATATATATATATATATGCAAATTCCGAAGAAAAGCAAAAAAAAAAAAAAAAGAACTTGTAAATGAAGTAATTCAAATAAATTTTACAGAATTATATCCTAGAAAATTAGTGTAGGTGGTTAAGTGCAAAAACAAAAAAAAAAAAAAAAAGAGTACATAGCTTATCTAACATACCTGTTAACCAAAAAAAAGGTGAAAATTTAGTTTTAATTATAGCAAAGGTGCAGAAGTAAACGACGGGCACAACTTACTGTACAAGTCCAACCAAAAATTAGTTTAAAGTTAAAAAAAAATTGAACTAAATTTTTTTTTTTTCAATTCCATCAATTTTAATTTTAAGGAATTAATTTTATGCAGTTAAATATAATCAATAATTTTTATTTGATATAGGTACACTTTGATTCATTGTTGTCGATATAATAAACGTCACAGTAACTTTTATAAATGATTTGTTGATGGAGAACGAATTGTGGCGCAGAATGTGAAAGTTATATTCCATCAGAAATATAATGTGACTTGGGAATTCGTATCCGGAGTAAAAACACTACTGATGCAATTTGGACAATTTGGGTTCTATATGGTGGAGCTTTGTACTGTGAAATTACCAAATTAAGCTCTGACAACACAAAAAATCATTCCGAGCACATGGACTTACCTTTTCTTTATGATGTATACTCTGATGCTTTTCTTAGTTCATGAACATGTCATATTCATACCAATTTCCTTTGGAAAAGGGTTAGAATCCACCTCCATTGCTCCGGGGGTCTTCTCTAGAAACTTCGGTCCCATCATCAATAGCCTTTTGAAGAGTATTCTGAAAAATAGTACAATTATTATTATTATAATTAAGTCCATGAATTATAAAACTTACGGTACCCTTTTTCCTTCGTGTCATTGCAAGATATTTTTTTTTTTATATTTGTAACCCGTATAATTCGTACACGTAATTTACTTCTATTATTTATTATTTGATAGTTAAATAAAATATATTTAACAATAATATTATATTATTTGGTCAACTTATAAATTATCTTTTTGATAATTAATTATTGTGAAATATTTTTTTATTTATTCCTTACTTTGATGGAAAGTGAAAGTAAGGTTACTAAAAAAAACTGGTCATCCCTTTACCTTTATAAAGTGCATATTCCCCATCAATTATGTACGTTAATGAAAACAATACGTATAATATTTATGTGTGCAAAAGGTCAAGAGAGAGAAATCGGTTTCCACGCTTTGACTATTACAGTTTAGCATGTTGTTCGTCTGTAGAAAGGATCTCGACGTTTGCCTTGATCTCTTCGAGTTTTACAATTACATATCAATGTATTTATATCTAACTATTTATTAATGCATTATAGATATGTGAAAATTATGAAGTTCTAAGATATGGGATTCATGTAAATTTGTAATTTATGGTTTTCACGAATTATTAAAGTTTACATGTGGTATCAGAGTTTAAGGTTTAGGGACTCATTATTTTTCTTTAACATTGCATAAATAATATTTAATATATAATGATGATTGCATAATTGAATAATGTATTGTTTTAAATCCGCATTGTGGATATGTTTTGATCAGTATTTTCCGTGGGTTTATTAGGATCAAGTTTTGTGCACTAATTTTGGTTTCCATACATAGATTTTTGAATTTTATGTAATTGCATGAAAGTCAATTACTTAATAATGCATGTATGCACGTGCATAATAAGATAAAGAAGTTTCATTTTCGTCCATGATTTTGAAAAGGAATATGTGTATTATTATATACTAATTTTAATATAATTTGTGACGACCCTGGATTTTTCAACCCAGTGCGTCCTGTGATGACCCGAACTGGATCCAGAATGCGGAAGTAAAAGATGAAACAATGATCTTTAGAGATACAACACATCTCTAAGACACCAATGTGACCCTCAACGAGGCCACAAAACCCAAAAGAAATAAATGCGGAAGCGGCGTTTCAAAAACGGACGAATGAACCTAGGGGCAAAATGGTCATTTACAACATGAAAGTGGGTGCTACCAAGCACACCATTGGAAGGACAACGAAAAATTAGTGAACTTAGAATCAAGAATCACTTGATTCGGAATCCGGATGAAGAAGATATGGCTAACGGAAGAAGAAGGGGCAAAAAGGTCAAAGGGAGCAAACCCTAGAACATCTAATTGGTTACCACACCTTCCTAACCGGTTAGGAGGCCAAAAATCACGACCACCACACTGCCTAAGCACATCTAACTATTTAGGAGACCCCTTTTAACCGGTTACGAAGCAAAAAAAACAGAAGGGTCAACAAGGAAACCTGGCAGTAGGGGTTTTTCGTCAAAAATTGGATTTTTGAGGGCCAAGATGACATTTTTTTGGAAAAACACAAAGAAGAAACCCCCCTCAAAATCGAGTTTGCCACATGACAATATGAAAGGAATCGAAAAAAACTCACTGTAAGATGCCCAAAATGCCCATCCATGAAATCAGGTCATGAGGGTCCAAAAAGCTACTAAATGCAAAACTAAAAGCTGAACTTCGTGAACGATTTCCGGTACCAAGATGACATTTACTGGAAAACACGAAGAAGAAACCCCCCCTAAAATCATCTTTTCTAAGCGACTATGTCGAGAACGGAAATTATTTCCCTAAGGAAATCCCAAAATGTCCTAAGGTCAGATTATGCAATAAAAATGCAAAGTGAGTCCATAAGAGGCTCATTACACCAAGGAGGAGGTTTTGCCCGGAAACAACCATGCATGCAAACGTAACTTACCTATTAGGACGTGCTACAATGGTCCATGACTTAAAATTACCACCGATGCAAAATCCGACCCCGTAACGGCCAAAAAGGCGAAAACAGACTTGAGATGGAAAACATAAAATCCAAAAATATAAAATGGGGTCAAATGACCATTTGGCCCCTGGCCACACTTCATACATGATTAATGAGACCCTATGGAAGAATCAAAATGGAATTCCCACAGCTAATGCAAACATGGTGAAGCAATAACTCAATATTTTTCAATATTTTCATAATATTCAATGAAGTAAAAAATTGCATAGGATACAAATTACATGTCATTAACCTCCGGCCTCATCTCATACATGTCAAATACATTTTAAAGAGTGTACTCATGTACACATTACATATATGGAATTAAATATACACATTTTGACATATAAGGCTATAAGTGGCATTCCAAGCCAACCTTTACAAGAATTAAAAACCTTCAAGTCTACAATCATCCAAGCAATGATGAACATCATGAACCAAGTCTTCGTACCTGAAACAGCCCCCCAGTAACTTCAGGGTGAGTAAACAAGTTTACTCGTAGAGAATGAGCATGCATCGACTCGATTTCTTTAGAGATTTTTACATTAACTTGAAACAATTCAAAAAGGTCATGTCACCTAACGTCTATGTCAAAGTGTGACTAAGGGATCATCCTAAGCTACTCATGCAATTGAAATGAACTACCTCATACAAGTATACATGCTCCAGTATACAAAACAATGTCAAAACATGTTATACGACATTCAAGCATACATTTCAAATATACTAAACCATATTAAAACAAATTATGCAACGTCCAAGCATATCTACTCAAGTATACATTTAATATAGAAAACTCGTAAATCAAGCACACAAACATAAATATACTAAGCCAAACAAGATACGCATAAGACAAGTATACATGGCACAAGTATACTAAATGCAATCTAAACTCACAGAGCAAGTATACAAGTTCAAGTATACTAAATAGGATTCAAATACCCAAAGTAAGCATCAATTCTCAAGCTACAAGTAATCCAAGATTAACAACTAGAAATTAAATGCAAAAACAAATAGTGGAAAGACTAGGACATTCGGTCGCTAGACCAAGTAAGTATTTTCGGGTAATTACGACCCACAAGGTACCACCTAGTGCGCACTTATGACTTAGAAAACTCTTGTCTCAGTACTAGAGCCAAACCCTAGCCATCAATTAAATTATGTCCTCACAAGTTTTTCAAAACCAATAAGTTCAAAACTTATACAAAATCAAATGTAAGTTACCATATTCTATGCACAAGTAAGGTTGAATCCACACAATTCATGTCCTAAAATTCAAGTCTAAATAGCATATGATAAGTCATGTCCTCAATATGCAATTTATACACAAAGTAAGAATATTTTACAACAATTGAGCCACATTACCATCCTAAGCCACAAGCACTAAATAAGCTTCAATTTAGTAACTAGCTTCCAAGGTAAATGATTGTAATATTCTAACAAGCTATATACCTATACAAGATACATTTAAACAAGTTTTGCAAATCAATGATATTCTATATCATGTTAAGTCCAATTACCATTTTAAGAGGCCACAAGTACTAATTATACATCAAGTTAGTAGCATGCTCACAAGGTAATTAGAATACTACATTTTAAGAGATTTTCAACCTAATCATGGAAAGTCTCTAGATTTCAAATCTATCCCAAATAACCTCAAATTAATATATGTTAAACAACATAGCATGCTCATTGCATATATCAAATCAAAAGAGTAAAATGAGCAAGACATCATCACGTAGATTTTAATTAATTTAAATTAATTAAATCTCTAATTTTTCAAAGTTGTTCAATTGATCCCAATTAAATATATGACAAGAACTAAGTCATGGCCATGCCATATATCAAGTCAAAAATGGAAAACAAGTAAGGTACAATGACGTAGTCCTTGTTAAGGGTCACTACACCATATCAAGCTTGAAGAGTGTGTGCA